CTTCCTTCCTTCCTTCCTTCCTTCCTTCCTTCCTTCCTTCCTTCCTTCCTTCCTATATTGCTTCCTTTTTCGTACCTCTCTCTGTAGCTGTGTGCATTGAAAATACCACAACAACAGTGAGTGGATTTTTATAATGGATGCTTCCTTTAATTTTTACTTTGAATGCTGCTCTCAACTCTGACCAAGAATCTCCTTTTCTTCAATTTTCTCTTACGGTTATCTCTGTTAGAGAGCTGCACAGTTTACACGGTAAACCAACCTTTGGCTAATCTTTGCTTCTTCTTTGCAATAAAGTGAATGACCTTGGGGTAGACACAAAAGGGGGTGGAAGAAGTTCTGCAGCTGCTGATAAGGTGGTGGAGGAGATAAGAGCAAAGGGGGGGAAAGCTGTGGCAAACTATGGTAAGGAACATCTATGTTATACATACTATGTAGTTTTTCTAATAATGGATAAAAAACTGCATTGCTTTTATTTCTCTTTATAGTGAGTATTGATAATGACAGAACCACCTGTTTTTTTTCTTAGTGTCTTTCCTTTTTGTAATGTGAGACATTAGATTTATTACCCAAAACCAGGCTCTGACATGATGTCAGACATGTATGTTTTTAAATATATATATTTTTTCTACAGCTAAATTAAATGCAAAAAAAAAAAAATAAACAGCTTCTTCTGATACATTATTTGTGACTTTAATATATTTTTTTTATAAGTGTAACTTTGTCTGTTGTTCCTTTATAAGAAAAAGTATAAACTGTCGTCAAAATTTAGTTCTCAAGTAAAATCTTTCATACAGACTCTGTTGAAGATGGAGAGAAGCTGATCCAAACTGCCCTGGATACTTTTGGGAGAATTGGTTTGTATTAAAATTGAGTAAAGCTATAATCAGTATATTATGTAACTCTTAATGTGATGGTTTTACTAGAACGTATTTTGGTAATATTCTTCTTTTTCAGACATTGTTGTGAACAATGCTGGGTAAGTTTCTCCCTAGTCATGAAAATATCAATCATCTTGTCTTAAAAAAGCAGTTTTTAAATTAAGTAAACATTAGAAAGTGAATGCTGATTTTAAATTTCTGCTTCTTTTTGCCCAGAATCCTTCGTGACCGTTCATTTGCTAGGACCAGTGATTTAGATTGGGGTAAAAACATTGTTATAAATCTGTTTATTTGTTCATCTGTAACTGGGTAAACTCACATAGAGACAGATTATATAAATATATATTTTTGTGCTTTTTATTCCAGACCTCATTCACAGAATTCACTTAAGAGGATCATTCTTGGTTACTCGAGCTGCCTGGAACCATATGAAAAATCAAAAGTTTGGCAGGTGAGGATCAAAGCAACCATTTATTAAAATGTAGTCTCTGTACTGCTGAGCCGTTAACTTTACCGATATGACCACCAAAAACAAAAGCACGGATACAAAGATGCAAAGAAGGTCCATAATCCATCCATCCATCCATTTTCTAACACGCTTACTCCCAAGTGGGGTGGGTCGCGAGGGGTGCTGGTGCCTATCTCCAGTTGTCAATGGGCGAGAGGCGGGGTACACCCTGGACAGGTTCGCCAGTCCATCGCAGGATGGTCCATAATTGCAAAAAAAATGCAACAACAGAAGACTGAAGAAAAAGAGGCAGTTTCTTCTAGTATTAGGGCATTTGTGGAAAATTACACACTTAAACGCATGCCCAAAAGATTTTAATCTGATCAAACGGTTGGTACACGTATGCATAGATCAGATCATTTTATTTAGCTTCCATGTAACAGAGATTTTGAATTTCTGATCAGCCAAGATTTAGATCATACCTGGGACATTTTGCCCAAGAAAAAAAAAGCTACTGTATAGGCTGTATATATTAGTATGGGTATATATAATCTATCAATTGAAAATTAAATGTACAAATATAAGCAACTTTATAAGTCTGACTTTCCTGGAAAGTCAGACTTATTCACCACCATACATTGTGAAATGAATAAAAAATAGAGTCTAGACATTGACAAGGTTAGAAATAATGATTTGTATTTGAAATAAGATTTTATTTTACATCAAACTTTGCTTTCGTCGAAGAATCCTCCATTTGCACCAATTACAGCATTGCAGACCTTCGGCATTCTAGCTGTTGGATGGGCACTTCTTGCGTACCATACGGTCAAGCTGCTCCCACAACAGCTCAATGGGGTTCAGATCTGGTGACTGCACTGGCCACTCCATTACCAATAGAATACCAGCTGTCTGCTTCTGCTCTAAATAGTTCTTGCACAATTTGGAGGTGTGTTTAGGGTCATTGTCCTGTTGTAGGATGAAATTGGCTCCAATCAAGCGCTGTCCAATGGGAATGGCATGGCGTTGCAAAATGGAGTGATAGCCTTCCTTATTCAGAATCCTTTTTACCCTGTACAAATCTCCTACCTTTCCAGCACCAAAGCAACCCCAGACCATCACATTACCTCCACCATGCTTGACAGATGCCAGTTGGGGACCTGTGAGGCGTCTGTTTCTCAAACTAGAGACTCTAATGTACTCATCTTCTTGCTCAGTTGTGCAACGCGGCCTCCCACTTCTTTTTCTACTCTGGTTAGAGCCTGTTTGTGCTGTCCTCTAAAGGGGGTAGTACACACCGTTGTGGGAATCTTCAATTTCTTAGCAATTTCTCGCATGGAATAGCCTTCATTTCTAAGAACAAGAATAGACTGTCGAGTTTCAGATGAAAGTCCTCTTTTTCTGGCCATGTTCAGCGTTTAATTGACCCCACAAATGTGATGCTCCAGAAACTCAATCTGCTCAAAGGAAGGTCAGTTGTACCATTAGAACACTGGAGTGATAGATGCTGGAAATGGGCCTCTATACACCTATGTAGATATTGCCCCAAAAACCAGACATTTGCTGCTAGAATAGTCATTTACCACAATGGCAATGTTTAGAGTGTATTTCTTTAAAGGTAAGACTAGTTTAAAGTTATCTTCATTGATAGTTACAGTGCTTTTTCTTAAAAAATAAGGACGTTTCAATGTGACCCCACATTGAAATGTCCCCCACACACATATATATATATATATATATAAATACACACACACATATATATGTATGTATGTATGTATGTATGTATGTATGTATGTATGTATGTATGTATGTATGTATG